GTTGTCCAGGAGCATCAAAAACACTTATTTAGAGAAGGATAGTCATAGAAATTTATGTTTTATTAATATATAACATAATCACATTTTCCCCCAATTGTAGACATTGGACCCCTGATATCTCGAAAACGTCCCCTCAAAAGCCTGATCACCACCCAGTTTCGGAATCCACGCAAAAAACTGGTCTAGAAAAACTTTGTCTCATAAATTCACAGCTCGGGTGGCGATTGTCCCCCTTCAGCCACCGGACTAATCTGCTATCAGTAATGGTTTATACATGATTTATATAGACGCATTTAAAAATGTTATTTACAAATTACAAAAAAGTAAATTCTCTAATAGTAAGTGCAGGGGGACTGCACCACACATAATTTACACAAAATAATTCTACAGACAAGACACAATACGCAGAAATCACAAACAAACGAACAAATTAAGGGAACGGATCCGGGGGCTAGCCGTTAGCGTCCACTGCGCTGTACAGTCCCGGGCCTGTGGTGATACAGACTTCACTCAAAATAGAAAACGATCAGGAATATAACCCAGAGAAACCATTGTGTAATACCAGCATGAGTCATGATCTGATATTAACCACATGATATATGAATGTAAACACATTGAAGTAAAAATTATCTCTACAAGTAACCATATCGGTGAAATGCATAAAAAAACCAGTCGTAGTCAAAAACTAAATTTTAATGTTCTATGTTAAGTGAGAAACATTTTAAGTACTCAACAGAATTTAGGTATTTTGACTATAAAGTTAGGGCATATGTTCCATTTAGCACAAAAGCAGAGGAAAAAAACAAACAATACTGAATACAAGAAGCAAACTGATAAAATGTAAAACCGTAAAAAAAAAAGACAGCCGTCTGCTGACTGAATGCCGTGACGTAAAAGGCTGAAATGTAATTTTAAAAAAGGGGTGTAATCAGCAAATGGACTGTTCACCGTGTACAAAATACACGACAAACAGTAGTAACAGTTGTCCGGAAGAGTAAACTTACCCTGCCTAGCGGCACACCTGTATCCAAACCATTAGACGAAATCTCGGTAAAATGGCGTAATTGGCCAGTGAACTATCCGTATGCAAAATGCACCTGATAAACAGTGCTAACAGATGTAATATTCATAATCGGGAAGAAAGTATACACATCAATTAAATATATCTAGAATAATAGCCGAAAGAGACATGTTATATTTAATAAAACTTTTTAAAGGTTTTTGTAAGTTTAGTGGGCAAGTATCCCTGTAGTTGAAGCTTAGATGACAAATGCCTCGATCTACTTAAAAAATAAGAATAAAGGAACAAGCCCTCGCGTATCGAACTAGCTGAGACACATAAACTCCATAAGCTGGTGATATTGGAATGTTACTTCTAATGAATGGAAAGTTAACAATCGGAAAGTCAAAGTCATCACGTTTATCGTACAATTTAACACTCAGTTTATGGCAATTGTCAAAATCGAGACGCAGACCAAAGTAGGAAGCGTAATTGTCACTGTCAGTAGTATTTTTAATTTCGAGCTCATCAGGATATATGAATTCTACATAATCACTAAATTTGGGATTATAGCACATCATCGATATATCGATAAGTGAAATTAAAACGCCTGACTAATCGTTTATTTGTTTTAACGAGTGCCTATATATAATCGGCTTCGTACGAATATAGAAACAAATCAGCAAGCAAAGATGCACAGTTGGTGCCCATGGGGATACCTACCACTTGCTGATATATTTCCCCTCCAAATTTAACAAAGATATTATCAATTAAAAAATCCAACATCTGAATTATCTTGTTGGCGGTGTATTTATGTTTGGAATTACTATGGAATTGTAATTACCAACTAGATATTCATATGTAACAGTTTCCGATTTAGATGAAAAGACACTGTGAATAATATCTTTTAACCGAGCTTTTAATTTACTATTGGGAATTTTAGTGTACAAGGTAGAAAAGTCAAACGTTTGTATAGATGAGACTGAAGCAAGTGATCTGGATTGCAAACCATCAAGTAATTCTTTGGAAATTTTTAAAATCCACATTTAATTAATACCACTACGAGAGTATATGTTGTCATAGTATGTTTGAATACCCCCTTTAACTGCCGTTAGTATAGATGTCAATACTTTTGAAAGTGGTTTTGTGAAACAAAGAGATGAACCTGCTATAAAACGTTGTTTGTAGGGATTTTTTTATGTAGTTTAGGTATCCAATATAACAAGGGCAGATTTGTATAGGTATCTGTATTTGGATATAATTTCATCCTTACTAAGAGTAAAATCATCGTGCTATGAAAATGTATATGTAGTCGGTTATATACTTATCAAGAAATGCGTAATTGTGTACCGCCTTTGGCAGTGCACTTCAAATAAAGAGATTTTGTTCTAGAAAGAAATTTTTCTTTATCGTTACAAATTGTCAAAAAATCGTAATGCCTGTGAATGGTATGTTACTATAAATTGACGGGTATTTTACTACTTCAAAGACATTAAATTTATTGTTAATTATATTAATATCCAGGTCAAGAACGGATGCATTTATAGTGCCAGAATTTTCTTTACTTGATATTAGTTCTGGGGGATATATTTCACTTTTATATTTGTTGAAAGTTCCGTTATCATTGATAAGTGTTATGTCATCAATGTATCGGAAGGTATAGTTCCGACTTTTAGCTACTTTTTTATCTGTTTTTCGTTTATGATCCTGAAAGCAGAATTCAATTGTTTGCTGTATTATCTGATCCCCAACCTCAAATATGGCAGGGGATCACGTGGCTAAGTGGGTAAGACGCTGGCTCGCTAGTCTGGAGGTCGGGTGTTCGATCCCTGCATTGGCCGAGAAAGTTCAACTGTCTAGTCCTTCGGATGAGACGAAAAACCGAGGTCCCGTGTATACATTGGAATGCACGTAAAATATCCCTTGGCAGTTGGAATTCGATATAAGAGTAGGCGATAGTGCCGCTGCCCGGGCAAAATTTCCCTCATAGCACACTGTATGGCGTATGCCCGTCTTCATTAGCCCAGCATAGGAGCAGAACAGTAGGACGTTAAACCCCATTTCATTTTATTTCAAATATGGCATTGTCATTGAGAAAATGTATAATGTTTTGAAACTTTTCTTTATCAAAAACCACAGTGTCGGCATTGCGACGTTTTATAATCCATTTAGCATCTTCCCGAAAGCTCCAATAAAAGCTTTATCCACAAACCAATCCAAATTATCTTTAAGGTCTGAATGTTGAAGCATAGTATACAAAGTAGAAAAGTCAAACGTTTCTATTGTTTTAGCATTAAGTTTTTCACTGATCGTATCTGAATTTTCTACTATGCGAAGTGCTCTGCACCAAATGGCATGTTTGGTTTGGCATAATTTAAGTCCTTTGGTTATTGTTTTAGCCAATGGTTTTGTGTGGCAGTTGCTGGAGGATATTATGCACCTGAATTTTACTGGGTTTTTATGGAATTTAGGTATAGAATAAATGTAAGGTAATGGATCTATTTTAACATTATCTTTAGTATCATTGCTCCTGTTGAAAGTATAATGATTATGTAAAATATCTAGTTTAGTTAAATCCGTAATGCATTTATAAGTGTCATTTTTGGTATTGGGCCAAAGTCCAACTTCAGTCAGAATACTCCTAAGATAGTATTTTAACAGGTAAAAGCAATATTGTTGCTAGTCTTATCGACAGACGTTAAAACAAATCTCTCTTGAAGAGTAGCAAGGCATTCAGCTGCAGATGTATGGTTATTTAGGACCTTGGGTGGGGGGGGGGCGTCTTGGCTTTTGTTTTATATACTTGGTTCTCTTTGACAAGAGATCAAAAACCGTGTTTTTCCATTCTCCAAAAGATTTTAAGGGTGCACGAAATTTATCATACCAAGTTACTATACATTTCCTGATTTGAGATTTTAAATTATTATGTAACTTTTTTAAATTAGTTTTACTTGATTGTTCTCGAAATTGTGGTCCAAAGCGTAAAAAGGGTTTTTAAGACTTTTATCTGCAACAATATCGAAGTTTCCTGTCAGTATATGTTCATGAAACTTATCTTTAAAACGAGAGTTGGCGCATTGGCATGTTGTATTATCGTAATTGTCAATAAATTATTGTACGTTAACGTTGTCAATAGTTTCATGGTAGTTAAATATTTTATTACAAATTGGCGGTGGATGAAATTTAAGGAATAGTATCTGGTATAGATTTAATTACTGATCGGTCTCTAAAGATTCTATTCAATCTAATGTCTTGTATATGTTTATCTGTAATAAGGATTTTACGTAACACATCAGGTTTTTTTCTTTCGTACATTATGAGGTTGTATTGAATGCGTAGGTGAACACTTACCATTTATCAAATCGATTATAACATCGTAATATTGAGGAAGAAATTAAGTTAATTAGAATAGATGATATCTTGTATGAGGACACCAAGTTTTTTAGCTGTTGATTTTCTTAAAGAGTGTACAATTTGTCGGGCTAGGTTGAGTACACAGGACCCTTTATCCAGTATTAAAGCGCCCCCTATACATCCTGGTCAGACCAATGAGTGTCGGGCCGCCGACGTACTACCTGTCAGAGGATATCCCATCCCTGTCAGCGGTATTATGGGGATCTTTTATTAAAACATGAAATCCTCTAATGTCATTGAGAAAGTAATTACACTTTCTCAAAAATATTGTTCCGGTTTGGATTAATATCCTTTCTTTACTATAACTGCAACGATTAGGGGATAAGCGTTCATCATTATTTTAATAATGGGTTAAATCTTACACTTGTTTAATATAATTATGACAAATCACTTAGGCTGTTAATACGGAAACGAACACGTATAAGGTCATAAAAATTGGAGGTTATGATATTTCATGACGTGTGCCAAAATACAAGAACTAAGGATTACTCTTTAAAAACGATATGGTATAAGATTTATTATAAATGATATGGAAAAAAACAATCCTGATCCCATTATGAAAAGATTTCCGTTATTTTGTGAAACGATGCATAACAATGACATTGTATTGTTTTGTCCGTTATTTAAATTGTCCTTAATCCGGGGACGCTGAGTAACTTTTACCACAAAGCTATGTTCAGTACTCGCAGTTACAGCAATCGACTTATCTTTGTGTCACGTTTTACGTTTTAGACGGATTACTATGCGGAGTATTTATTTAACAAATTCTTAAAAAATAACAATAAAACTTTTTGGGGGACGAGTTACTAAGAAGTAATCTTGGTATTGCGATTGTCGTTTTAATTTCGGTTTGAATCTTATGACTTGAGACAAGATGATTGGGATCCTGATTTTATCTTGCGTTAGTGCATCTTCTGCATTATGGCCGGCATTTCCGAGTCATATCGCTGGAGGAATTCCATTAACGGGACGTGGAAATCTTCCACAGGTTACTGGTCAGCAACGAACTACATTTAGTTATCCCAAAGGACCCATAATCCCTGAACGTAGTCAGGTAAATCGGTTTTGTAATTGTAAGAATGAAGTACAGGCAGTAAATGCAAGGATTCGCTCAGAACACTCACTGGTTGAAAGACTGCAGACTAAAGTAGATGACTTAAGTAATATTGTTTATAATCTGAGATCAGTTGTACAAGATTACAATTTACAAGACAGACGTAACGTCGAACAAAGACTTGGTAAGTATTAATTTTACCTCCTTGTATTGTCCAGGAAAGGAAGAAACCTCGTAATCTCAAATTGTGTCTTCAAAATGCAATAAAGTCAATTCTGCTCATGCATGGAAGCATTTATGTCACCTTTAAGAATTAAAGTAGATATCTTCATTTCAAGTTGACTTGAAGTTTAGATAGTTTAGAGTTTCTGTCGAGTCGGTTTATTCAGCTATTGAAACTATTTATGGTGTACATGTTCACACTTTATCTAGGGCATTAACTCCACTCATGACGCCTCACATCAAAATGTAGCCTCTGTGGCATTCACATGCCAATTTTGATGGACGGACCGACGGACTAACAGAGACAAGGACATAATACGTCGACACTTAAATGTGGGCGGATAAATATATGTTGGGCAAAATTATTGACCAAATATACAAACGCAAGTCATTATCTTCTCGATATACCTTGACCAATTCGTTTGCGGAACGTAATGAATATCGGCACTTCTGTAATTTACCTGTCGCAGCCTTCACATTAATGTGCATTAACATAGCATAGTTTCCAATCTATGGCGTTTATATTTCTTTGGTCATCCATTATACTTAGGCTTGCACATTTTATGTGGATTTTCTGTCGACAGCCAAATTGGTGAGATGAGGTCAATAGACTTAAATTTTCATTTAATCTGTTGATGGTCATCACCTCCGATACATTGGTAATATGTATAGTACATGTATCTCAAAGGTCACCCTTCATTAAGTATGACCCAAATTTTCTTTTCATATACCAATACACCTTATATCTATCTGGTATTGGAATGTTCGCCGACTTGACACTAACTAGTCATTATATGTATTTTTAAATATTGATTGCCGTGTCTTATCGATGGTACGATATTTTAATTTAACATGGTGAACAATCATTAGAGTGTGGTTCCTAATGTATTCAATGACACACAGCGCAAAGGTATTATGTCACTCAATTTATGTATATATCAGATTTTGTGTGTGTTTACCTGTATTTAAAGGGCCGAGCTCGGTTATATTTTGGAGAATAAAACTGCTTAATTTTGTGTGAAAAGCCCTTAAAAAACCTGTACCTTAGAGCCCAGCAACTAACTCAATATACGTGATATGTTTTCAAACAACTTAAGCCCGTCAGTCTTCATCTGGAAATAGAGACCGGTGTCCCAAGCTGTATTATGCAGGTGTTTGGGTGCTTTGGCGCTTAAATTTCATACGTACACGGACGTTTATTTCTGCAACTCTGTTAAACTCGGGATGATCCCTTTAAATAATTTTCTTTTGTTGATGGAAAAACAAAATAAAAAAAAAAGAGACACAAAAAAAAAAAATCTTTTCTTATTATTTTTTCCAGGGCAACAGTTTGGACAATCCATCATTGTTTCATTTTCTGCCAGAGTTCGGGACAATAAATCATTTTTGGGACCAACCGCTGCAATTGTTTTTGATGAGATTGTAGTAAATAATGGCGATGCTTATGACCCTTATACGGGTGTTTTCACAGCACCGGTAGATGGGGTCTACCATTTTGCCTCAACTGTACTGTCTGGTTTCAACTCAACTATTGAAACCATGTTAATGGTTAATGGCGAGGAAGTTGGCCGAATGTTTTCTGGGGCGTTCTTGAGCCGTGGTTCCGGTACCAACAACGTGTTAGTTAATCTAAAAGAAGCCGATGAAGTCTCTGTCAACGTGTTTTATGGTAATGGTGATTATGTTCATGGACTGTGGAGTACCTTTATGGGTTACCTAATCAATGCTTTGTATTAAATATTTTATAAATATTAGACACACGTTTATCAAAGAAACATTAAAGCAAGGTTATATCTTCTGAAAATACAGACATACATGTACGGTTTAGGATCGGTTTCTCATAGATGTTTTAAACATAATCACAGTTGAAACCTGTACATAATTCTAGAACGCCACATTCGATGTATTAATGTTCGGCTACGCATCTACTGATTTTAACCTTGGAATATCACCAGACTTTAGCCTTACAATGTAGCCCGACTTTAACCTTACTATACAGACTTAGTATTTTTTGATTAAAATGAAATTGTACTGAATATGAACGAACACCTTTTACATGGCATATACTTTATAAAACACAATGTCTGCTTTTCGATGGAAGATATCGAGTAGCAAAACTTCTACTCGTTAAATACGTTACTTTATGTGTAACTGGTAAATTGTGGTGAATTTATGGACAGCTAATTTAATTGCCTATGATATACATGTACTGTATTCACATAAAACATAACAGGTTGAACTGGTTCAGCAACATCAGTCTGTGTACTGCCTCCTCGTTTAAGATCATGCTCTATTCACTGTGATAGTACTTTTGTTACTATTAAAATATATGCTGATCAGATAGAGATTTTGAAAAATAGTGTAATTTATACCTGTGCCCTATCGTCTTGTCGGTTTTTCCATTTATTTATAACGTCATATCAGTTATCAATGAACTAGTCTAGCATGGCTTAAATATAGATTATTCTCAATAGGTTGTAACCGCTATAAATCTTTAATGACTTAAAAACAACCTTAAATTGATTAATATATGCTTTTTAACGACTCAGACCAAATAAGCATGTTTTTTGATTGACCTCGGATATGATATTATGATACATCTAACGCTCGTTTATATAGTAATAAAAATACTGAGCTATCACATGAATTTGAAATGATACTTCTTCCTTCATCTGGACCAAAATGTACATTTCTCTATTTCGTTTGTGTTTAATTTTTGATGCCATTACGTTAATCGTATAGAGCCTTTTCTATCACTAATGGAAATAACACACAGATTAAGCCGAATCAGTACATTAAGAGCTCGGTGAGTTTCATTCCCATTTTGAGGGCAAAGGGTTTATGAAAGTATCCAGTTTTTGTATTTTTGAGTCTTTTGAATTAAATTCTGGTCGAATTTTCAAAATAAAAAATAATTTTCAGTAACGAACTTATTTTGGATCTTATTATAGCCGGAAACAGCTAGACACCTTTGGAAATTATAAATCATCAAATAAACCTGTACCACATAAATAAATAAAATATGAAAAGCTCAAGAGACACACTTGATCTAACCACCCGTTCGTGCATTCCTGGAGTTTTACGTGATATCGCAGACAAGATCTAACCACCCAGACAATTAAGATTTAAATAATATTGTGATATTCTGGTAACGACACCAAAAGAACCTTGTAATACTATCAATCCTCTCAAAATCATTGACTTCACGTTGGGCGGCAGAGTGACTTCAGTATGAGTTCACGTTGTGTTCCATTCACGTGCGCGATGTATCATAAGGTCTGTCACTGAGTCAACTAGTTCATTGATAACTGATATGACGTTCAAGCGAATTATTGAAATATAATTGAACCATATGTTAGTCCCAAAATGACCTGGTTTGACGTTAACCCCACCCCCTCTCTCTCTCTCTCTCTCTCTCTCTCTCTCTGTGTTCCGGTAATACTAGAACTCGATAAACCCGTGTAGTGTGTGTGCAATACCTGTTTATTGCAGAAAATATCATAAATATAAAAGTTACAACGAAATGAAATGAAATGGGGTTTAACACCCTACTGTTCCGCTCCTATACCGGGCTAATGAAGACGGCCTTACGCCATGCAGTGTGCTATGAGGGAAATTTTGCCTGGGCAGCGGTACTATCGCCTACTCTTATATCGAATCCCAACTGCCAAGGATCTTTTACGTGCATTCCAGTGTATACACGGGACCTCGGTTTTTTGTCTCATCCCAAGGAGTAGGCAGCTGTCCTTGTTAGGCCCTCCGTTCTGCACCACTGACAAGGGGAAACCACGTCGGAAAATTCAGATGAACTTTCCCGGTCAATGCAGGGATCGAACACCCGACCTCCAGGCTAGCCAGCCAGCTTTTTAACCACCTAGCCACCGTGGTTCCCAAAAGTTAGAACAGCTATGGCATTACATATATAAACATAGGTGTAAACATCAGCAATGACGCTACAAGATACCTCCTTCTTGTCCCAACTCAGGCCTAACTTCTGAAACGCTACAGGATGTCGTAAGAACGCTGAATGATGTCTCAATAAAATGACACACACTTGCTCGTTTACCACGCCCGCCCCCCACCTTTACGTGTCTGCGCCATTGGTATTAATTGATTTGTCAAATACACATTCAAAGAAATAAATCCATTTTAAAGCCCTAATATGGAAACAACCCCCTGTTGATATATAAGTCTGAGAAACAAACAGTCTGTTATTAGTGTGTTTTGCTAACCGATATAATTTGGAAAACAAGTTGTTTTTCATGAATCGCTGCCTATTTTTTTTAGCTCCCTTCTTATGCAAGTATCAGATCAGTTGCCTATTATACAAATTTCCCCAATAATTTAAATTCGACTATTATCAAATACGATAATCTATGGATGGGCACACAAATAAATTGAAGTATAAACTTTAAACTAGTGAGTCAGTTAATTAACTCTTCCTGCGTGTATATTAAAACGACCTATGGGAATACTGAAGAATATCTATTAGTGATATATTGAATTATAAATAGTGCAACCCTAGCGTTTGTGGGACAAATATTACTTTTGTTTGATTCGAAGAAATAATGCTTCCAAGCATGTATGAAAAACTGTTTTGAAAATTTTAACAATACGGGTGTGCAGTTAAAAGAGCATTTATTAAAGGGTCAATCCCGATATTATTTTGGAGAATAAAACTGCTTAATTTTGTGTTAAAACCCCTTAAAATCCCGTGCCTAAAGGCCGAGCAACTAATTCAATATTTGTGATATGTTTTCAATCAACGTACACCCGCCAGTCTTCATCTGGAAATGGAGACCGGTGTCCCAAGCTGTATTATGCGGTGTCTGGACAAAACCAGACTTTTATTTTATAAAAACAATGTGTAGGTGAAATTTACCTTTCGTTATCCAGTACGGCACATGTGTCATTCACTATATAGACCTCTAAAGGAACGGCGGTAGATTATCAGGCCACCCAACGAAAAAATAAATTTACCCGAAATCTTAAAAGGGTTACGTGTCCGGATAAGCATTTTTGACGTTCACGTCCAAACAAGGTAAATACACCATTCCTCTATATTTTGGCGCTTAAATTTCATACGAACTCGGACTTTTATTTTTGAGACTCTGTTCAAATCGGGATAGTCCCTTTAAGCCCTCGGCACTGCGCTATTCTTTGATTTCGCTAATTAGGCTTCGCGGTTAAGGGAGGTACTAAGGTACTTTTATAAATACATAATGAAACTCCTTAGATCTTTTATCTGAACTGTACTATACGTAATATAATCAATCTGTACATATTTGATTAAACAAAGAAGATATATTACTGTTGAACAAGATACATATAACTCATATAAAACTATGGCACTAGAGTCAAATAATATCAAGTCGTTACTAAAACCACTGGTTAATCGAATTAAGTTCGATCAATTGCTAACAATTTATCTACAATAGTCTGTACTACTATTGTTCTATTCTTTTTTTCGACCTGTAGAATCGATTGACCTCGGGAATGTATAGAACTTCATGACACACAGGTGCGGTATGAGTTCAACCTAATGAATGTGCGTGGCGAGGAGAATAAGAATAATCGCATGTCCAGTGGTGAGGCCGTCAATCCAACGGGTCCTTTTTTCACTTTTTCGCTTCACATTCACATATAGCATAATATATAACAAGTAGTTTGGTACAGTAGGACATATAATATTTATAACGGGGCATAAAATATTGTATAAATTTGGCACAATGCGATATAAATTTGCATAAGGTACGGTAGAAACTACAACAAAAATGTAATAATTCTGGGGACAATAACCTCAAAAGAGACCCTTCGCTACTGGCACAGACTTTATAAATGAATGAAATGAAAATTAGATTTAACGTCCTACTTTTTTGTTCCATGCGAGTTAATAATGGCGGGCAAACGCCATGCAGCGTCCTATAAGGTGTTACAACGTACACTTATTTCGAATTCCGACTGCCTATCCGACTGACTAGACACCGTCTCTTGCCCGAACCCTGTCCTGTTTACATAGCTCACAAATTTGTATAACCAACCAGATTAATCAATCTGAGCTGTATTAATATACATGGCACCAAAAACCCGCTACTCGATAGCCCCAGATGGAGCTGTGGTGTGAGCTATTGCATAGATGAGGAAGTAGTGCCATATGTTCGAAAACGCGCATCAGCTGTGTTAGCTTTTGGATCCAACATGATTAAATGCCATTTTACTTTGGTTTTATTTTTGATACATATTTTCTTCGTAGATGTATTTGAGATAAAGTGTTTTGTACTGGACTGTGGTAATTATCATAAATATATAAGAACAAAATGGCATGTAACGTATGTAGGTAACTCTGGCTTGGTATATAATCAACTATGTTCGGTAAACATCACCAAAAGCAACGAAATTTTATTTTATCTTTAACTGAAATTTAGAAATGAACGCAGATGTTTTATGCATTATGCATTATAAATAAACACTACATGACTCCGATATAGGAATGGCAAGAAAAACATATTTTTCATTAGTTGATAATTCTGTATTGAATACGTTTTCTAGTGTTTTGCACATTCGATCTTGTGACACGTTTTTCAGTTTAAAATACTGAAGAAATCAATATACTTTAACACAAATAAAAGAGTGAATCCAGTGGGCGAAACTGTCCTTTTTAGTCTGTAGCTTTTTAATTTGATATCGATCTTTGAAACGTTCTATATCATGCTTTTTATATACAGTCTGTTTAGTCTAAGGTTTACATATATCCGTTATCATGTTGTATCAACACTCCGTCTTGTTGTCTTTTCGTACCCAAGTTGTTATTGAAACCAATTATCAAATAGCTAGCACTTTCAATGGTAAATGGTTATTGAGATTATGTTCACCATCCTAGCCTTATCTCTTAAAATCATTTATATAATATAGGTTGGGTTGCCGAGTAGTGTAATGAGAGAGAGAGAGAGAGAGAGAGAGAGAGAGGTGGGGGGTGCTAACGTCCACAATTCGCTTACACGTTCGACCACTCGATCCTCGATCACCGTTCCCACCCACCCATAAATGCCGCTAAAACAAAGGGGTAGTCTTTAGAGATTTTAAACTTGTACCCTATGTTTACCAGTACCTGTTTATTGGTTTTAGGGGGGTTGGAAGGCCGAATGGTTAGCGTGTGCGCGCTGTATCATAAGATCTGTTATTGAGTCAACTGGCGTGGTTCGATTCCCCGGTTGTACGTGACAAGGAGTAGGGTCACCTGTTCAGCCTCTTGGTTTTTTTCCGGGTCCTCCGGTTTCCTCCCACTGTTAAAGACCATAACAAAAAATAACAAGAAATAATAGATACAAATATTTCAAGTTCGTCAACAGAACTGAGAATAATTTACTGAGAATGGTGTTTCTAGAATACTGATATGATTACATCTTCGATGCACTTGGAGGAGGAATTGCCCAGTAAGTCGACGTAGCTATAGGTACGCCAACACAGGGGCTTAATCTTTATCTTTACTTACTAGGCTGTTCCTTTGTTCGTGTAGACGGAATTTAAAAATAATAATTACCATTAGATAATTTTAGATTTTAGACATTATAATTACAGCAGGGAACGAAATTACGTTTCTCAGAAACCTAAACTGTAAATTTGTAGATGGGGTGGGGTGTACACAAATGGAAAAAGGGATAGTTCATATACGTTGATCTACAATATTTGACTTTGTTCCCAGTCCCGAAGACCTTCAAAAGGTATAACATTGTTGGGGTACTTTGTCATGTTAATGTTACGATATGGTAATAACGTGGTTTGGTAGATATTCCTAATACAGCAACATTAATCAGATATAATATAGCACGTGCCGAAATGCCATAGGATATACAATAGAATTTATCTTTAATGTATTTGGGAAATTATCTGTCAACAACGCACAAATATATATCCACAACTGGTTCACTGACGTCAGATGTCTGGTTCTATAAATTGCATGTGAGATGGCTTTATTCAACGTCCGAAATGATATTGCATGCAAAATCTATAAATTGAGGCATATAGTTTTTATATCCATCACGAGTTACAAGATAAGACCCCACCCCTGGTGAATTCATGTCTGGGCGCGTTTTAGTCATTAAATGAATGGAGTTACATTTTTCATTCACCGTTCTGCCACGATGGAGAGATCTTAACGTTCTCCCGGGATGCTTTATTTTAAGAAAATCACAACGTGAAATCACAGAATCAACAGGATCGATATTATTACAATTACCCTTCTCATTCACAGGATGAATTTGTGGCCAATAAATGTATAGATTTAGTTTAGATGGTCGGTATCTAACGAAATTTCAAGCTAACTCTGAAATTGGAAAGGAAAGAACGACATGAACCCTTCCTCCTGTGTAGATTATTTCAGTGATTTTCCTTAGAGTGGGTGAGAGCCAAGATGGCTCAGTGAGTGGGGTGGTCCCAGGTTCGTTTCGAGGGATTTTGCGGCGGGGTTTCCCTTTTTCTGTTAGTAGACATTGAAAAACATTTTTGGGGTAGGACACTTATTTTATGTTTCAATTTTAAAAAGGGAAAATATTAAAGATTTCGAGCATGGAATCATTTATACCATTTTTCAGGTAACAATCCATTTAACGCAGTTTAAATTGTTAAATGATAGTTGTTGCGTATTTGAAGAAATGAAATATAAGACTGGTTTTAGATTAAATACGGTATGTGTAAATAACACACGAAAAATCGTTTTAATTGAGAGAAACTTGTGGATTATGCAAATGACACAAAAGGGTGTGGGTATTGATATTTCAGAATAAATATTTAAAGGTGTTATTCCACCACAAATGTTGCTCAATACGACATATTGATAGAGTATACTTCTTAGACTGTAATATGTTTTTCCTTGGGGGTAAGTATTAAAAAAAGAATATTTGACATCTATTATTATAGTTGCTTATTGTCCTTTACAATAAAAGAACATTCTCTACTCTACTCCATATCAATATTTCCGCACTTTGTCTCAAATTGCTCACCATATTTGAAAAGACCGTATAATCAGTACTATATAAGTACACCTACACGGACATTGTAAGAGATGAAATAAATATAAAATTAAGTCCCCCATCCCATTTAGAGACTTACTGGATTACGGTGACTACTATATACATATTAGCCACCAGCTGATGCTTAGACATTATTATACTGACATTTGTCATAAATTATGGCAATTAATTCAATTTTGACGTTTCAGTTGTTACCAAAGTGGCAGTAGGACGTTTTGTACTAAATCTCCAAATACCAAATGCGATTACTTATTTCAAGAACGATTTCTATCTATTTGGAGCAAGTATCCCCATGTATTATCTAACTCACTCTTAATTCAGAAACGAAAGGGTTAACAAGTGCTATGCCTTTGAATGCAATATTATGTTAAAATCCATTACCCTGATCCCCCCACCCCCCATTAAAAGCAAATAACCAACACTATTATGATTACTTACTATGTAAATAAATATGTTTTAATTTGATGAGGAACAACAAAGCGTTTTGGTGTTGTCCATTAATATATTATTTATTGCAACGAACTAAAAGCACCAGAATATTAAAACATACAACTAAAATATAAGCACGTAAAATCGGTTTAGTAAACTAAGATAATTAGGAAAGTTTGTTCTAGTTATTATCAAATAATAACTACACTATTACTCATTATTATTCTATGGTTCTATGGTTTACTTTCTCACCTACATGAAAGAACCTTCGATCAGGTGTAAAATTAAAATTGTAGTTGTTTAAATATATATAGATACATACCGTTTTGTTTTGTGTCAAAATATATAAAATATGTAGAAAAACAAGTGAGATATATATAATGTTAATGAAACTACATATAACTGTTATGGGTTGGGACAAGATACCAATATCGTATATTTTACTGCCGTCATGTGAATGAAAAGCTGGATATGATAAAACATTAGTTTCGGAGCATATAAATTTGTAATGATAGCAGATTCAAACATGATATAGCGAGCTGAAGTGAAATTAAAACTGGGTTTAACGTTCCTGTACCGACTGGGCTATATTTCTCAAGTCGATATTTGTTATTCTATTACTATGATAATGTTGGAATTAATGTACTCCTTGGTTAATGCTAATTATAAAACAATATCTATCTACATTATTTTACATTGTTCTGCTCTGGCGGGTTTTGTCATTAAATACTTGAAAAAATATTACAAGTCATTGTAATCCAGGTCGGTACAGACCGATAGGCAATCAACTAATATGATTTTCCAAAAGCACGAAAAGAGTTTGGAAGTATATATTTTCATATAATCAAACAGTGTTTGTATTATCCTCCAGGAAATACAAAGTCAAAAAAAAGAAATAAATAATAATACAAAGATATTATTAACTACTTAGCGTAAAAACTAAACATATTATGTACAATTAACAAAACGTATATCTTTCAAATAGTAGAATCTTAGTATGTGAATAAAATATAGTATCTTCTGTACGATAGTGTAATAATAATACGGAACATAAGGTTAACATACTAAATTAAACATACATTATGCAAGAGCTAAATCTGCCTTCGATATGTCTTTCTTTAGGCCTGAAATGTTATCAAAATTATTAATTAGACATTAATTAGCTTATCAAGACGATAATCAACTCTCGATATCATCGTTAGCCTGCGATATTTAGTGGATTTGAATACATTTTTTGATGAACAATTTAACTTAAAAATGGATAATCGAGATTTTTATTTTAATTATCGTACTAACGTTAGTAATTACGATGAAGGCTAGCCTAAAATTGTATCGGTAATATCTCGGGTCAGAGCGAAGCAATTTGACTGAAATTTTCAGCATATTCTGTTTTCACTACCTATTTTTAAACTATTATAGCGAGAAATATCAGCTCTTTATCTAATCTTTCATCAAAATCGTCTTCATTAGTCCAGTTCGGAACAGAACAGTAGGACGTTAAACCCCATTTCTTTTCATTTCATTTACGGTTGCCTGGATCCCGTGTCATTATTAATTGACTCGGTACTGGACTTAGTGCATTAGACTTAAGTGTAGACGCTCTGACCAAACTAGAAGATAAGATAAATGGGGTTTCTTACGACCATGCTGTGTTAGGATGATATTCCTATTAGAATTCCTTACACCTCAATGCCTATCTGATTTCTTTTTTCTTTTTTTTTTCGGTTACTCTTAATAAAAAAATATATATTGGATATTACATAGTATAGAAATCATCAATATAAGAAAATGTAACGGCCATGTTATTCCACCGCATCAATTATCTGTGTTATATAAATCAATCTTTCGATGCTTATATTATTATATTCATTAGCA